GATTGTGGAAAAACTGAAATGCTGAATAATCGATTTTTACGGTTTTCGATTATCGATTTTTTGGCCATTCCATTTTATTCCGGTGCTGGCCAATGACTGATATTTTTTTGTTATCACAAAATTAATCCGACAATTGTTTAGGGAATTAGAGATGGAGTGGGGTGGTAGGTGTATGGGTGGTGGTGGCGGTGCGGGAGGAGGAGGTGGGGGCCCGAGTGATGCCGACTGGAGGCGAAAGTGGCCGAGGATGGGCGAAGAGCCGGTGGTGTTTTTACCTGCGGCCGAGTTCCTCTCAGTGTCGCGTCAGTCCTCGATGAAATTGCTCACTCCTCCCGGTCAATTCCAGTACAAAGAAAAACAAACATAAACTCTCAACCCCGACGTAACACCTGTGACACACCAATGGCATTGCCCCAGTGATAAATAATAAAAAATAGCGCAAGTGGTGAATGAAAAAAAGCATCGGTTGTCCGTGTGATCTCGTACTTTTGGAGCTCCTGGTGCTGGTCCCGGTGACGGAGGTACATCACGGTGAGTCAATCACAGATTCAGTAATAACTTTTTAAGTCTTTTAACCCCCGAGTCGTTGGGGCAATTGAAAAAATATATAAATAAAAAGGGAGAGGTGCCAGGAGAATTGGTCGTGGGGTAAACTTGTTTCCAGTGCTAGCGCGGCACCGGTTTCCCGAGAATTCACTGACCGCCATCCTTGGGATGTAAAAAAAAAATTTAAAAAAAGGGGATACATGAAAAGCTCCTAGAATCGAGTGAACCTTTTTATTTGGACATTGTTCTTATATTATTATGCGGTTCACGGTGATGGGGAGGCGGCAAAAAATCCCTCCGTCGTTCGAATAGGGGATTCTCTACATGGTTTACGTACTTTTGACATTCGAGACGGTGGTTCAAGGACGGTGACGTGCTAGAGGTCTGTGCACTTCAATGTTCTCTCGATATAAATGCACATACGATACCATATGAGATTTGCCATTTTTACCCATTTTTAATGGCCAATTTTTATGAGATCGATCAGCTCACATTTGGGGAAACCAGTGAGCAGGATTCCGAGGTCACATTATTTTTGTCAGTACCCTCTAAAATTTGACAGGATACCAGCAATTCTCCAACTCTCGACGTAATCCTCTTGAGGTTGAGAAAAATTACAGCTAGACTGCCATAACGAGATACGAATAAAAACGTTGAGTGAACGTTCCTCTTCCAAGAGCAGCTAGATATTTCATATTTAATTGAATATTCAATTAATATTGAAATGGCCTGTCGTTGTAAGAAATTTCGAGCATTTCCTTACAAATAAATTCCAATGTTTCGCTCAGGATTTTAAATCCAGAAATCACTTCCAGTGGGGATGAAGTTTCCACTGTTTTTAGAGGATCTCGGGGAAATTCTGGTCAAATGACATTTTCACTGGAATTTTCAAGGGATTTCGTCACGAAAAAATGGCGATTTGAGTGGGAAAGCAGATTTTCCTCGGAATACCTCCACAAAGGATGATTAATCCCTCGTACCCCGTCCACTCGAATATTCGATTTTAATTGGGAACGAATCAGTTATACTTTGACATGATAATTGGATCGAGTGGGAATTATTACAGGTCAGCGCTCTCATTGGAAACATGTATTTCACTCCGATAAACACAAATGAAAGGCGGTGGTTAAGTCTGAGTTTTCCCTACCTTTTTCCATGGCAATTGGCCAGTTTCTTTTTTGCTTTATTGTTTATAGGCGATAATTAATTTGATTCGAGTGAGTGTTGACACACTGGAGTTATTCCTTATCGAGCCGTTTGTAAACCGATCATCGCTCGTTTTTCACGGCTGGCAAGCACTCCATTTGCTCGATTGTATTTTTCATTCCGGATGTACGGCAGAAAAGATTTCTTATTTTCATAAAAAAGTCACTTGAGTGTAGAAATCCATGTTTATTCATCGCCAAGTTCAGGAAAAAGTCCCGGAGCTCGGGATTGAAAATTCAATTGTCATCATTAATCATGAATTCTAAAGAAAAATGCGAATTCGTTTTTTGAATTGAAAAAAAAAAATCTATCAGTGTAACAGTGAATTTTCCGCTGTAATTTTCAGGATCCGAGAGCAAACCATCGGATCAATTACCCCTGGATTGCACTACGGATTAACCTCTTTCCCAACAAACGATAATTTTTTACGAGTGTGGTCACCTAATGTCTCAATTTTTTATTCACTCAGAATCAGCATCTTGCATCACTAATCGTTGAGTTTCAGAAGCAGACGTTGATAATCAATAATTGGTTTTGTGCAATCACGTGGAATGAAATGGAAGATGCATTAACTGATTTTAAGCCGTTGGAATGAATAAAAAAAGGTCCTAAAAAGGGAGAGGGGGGAAGAAAAAAAAATGGTAGGTTCTGCTCTAATTCGATTGCAAGGGTCTCTTATTTCTCGCTGTTCAAATTGATTGTCGTCCTCGGTAAAAAGGAATACAATGGTACTATTGGTTGATGGAGGTAAAAAGGCCGGACACTTCTTTCCTGAGAGTTTGTTCTCTCCATTTTCTCCTTCTTGGCCTCAAGAAGTCACTTTTTTTATCTCTTGGCTTTTTTGTAGCTCCCCATTCCCTCGTTCTTGAAATATTAATTGATATGTTTTCCGGTTTTTTGGTGTCGACTTTCCATTCATCCGGGAGTTAACGCTCAGAAATTAGTCGAAGTGAACCGAAGAAAGTTGTCAGGAATTGATTAATTAACCT